GCTTGCGTAACGAGCTCTGGTGCCGATACCTTCTTACTAGAACTAGTCTTTTGCTTTTGAAGCTGCTGGGAATTTTTAGGACCTTCCTATCTCACGTTAACTGGCTATTAATAAAATTCATGATAGTGTCACTAATCAGCTTGCTCTTCTGCTCAAAAAAAAAAAAAGTTAAACACATCTCCATAATGAAATTCCGTCTTTCAGGCAGAGGATAAAATTTGCATGATTAAAGCTTTAAAGGGCTTTTTCTAATTGAGAAAATGCTTCATAATTCGTCCACGAACTTGCAAACCAGGCTGTGTGTTCTTTTTGGCCCCAGCTTTATTCAGCTATGATAATTTACCAACCATTTTCTTGACCAAATTTGTTTTGGCTTTACAGGACTGACTATATTTACACATAATCTTGCCACCTTCATGATTTAAAAAAAAAAAAGGCAGAAAAATGGCGAACAGTTATCCACCCACAAAGCAAATCCACTGAGTAAGAAGGTGCTGTTCTTGCCAAAAGTTTTTTTTTCTTCCCCAGTCGTCTTCACTTTATAGCTAGCTAAATGGTGAAGCATTTAAAAAACATCTTGTTTGTTGCTGACGCATGTCTGTGCACATGCTTCTGGGTGGACTTACGGGGCATTGGGCAGGCACAGATCTGCAGTGCCAGATGTTGCTATTCTCATCACAGCCAGATGAGCTATTCTCATCTACAGTAAAGCTCCTCCTAATTGCATTGAGTGAATTTTAAAGACCAAGGGAACCTGTGTTTTTGTGCTTGAAAGGGATAATATAATCTGAATGTTAGCTACCGGAATTTCTCATGCACCTATTGCTCTAGCCGCAAGGTGGAAAAGCGATGGTGATGCATTGGCAGTGTCACCTTCAGGGTGAAGGTGAACTGCAAAGTGCTTTTTCCCGGTTAAACAGTTCCAAAATGAGCGATAGCAAGGGTTAGTGGTAGGGAGCAAGAAAAACATCAGCATCATCCTGTGGGGGCTGAAGGCATGGCAGGGTATCTGGTTGCGGAGAAGTCCCCCGTGCCGAGCTCTTCGAGGAACTGGCACGGGAGAGGGGAGCTGATCCGATCCATCGCGCCGTTGCCAGATTGTTCCCAGCTGAAGCCTCGCAAACGTCTGCTCCGTCGTTCCCCCTCTCCTTTTCCTTAGGATGCTGTGCTCTGGTCTGATAGCCGCTAAGCTTTTCCTAGTATTCAGATTAACAAAGGAAAGTGTGTATTTATAGCCTTCTGAATTACTTCTCTTCCCTCTTTGATGTTTGTGTACCCTGAGATACCATTAGGTCCGTCCTGTAGTTTTCACTTGGCCAATGCTCTCCGTATTAAGAAGGGGATGTTAAAAGTGCTCAGCACAGACCTCTCTCTCTCTCTCTCTGCTCCCCTTGGAATCCAGAAGAGGGTTTTTTGCCGTCCTTTTTAAAGAGTTGAGCAGCTGCTGAAGTTTTTTGATCTCCCTTTGTCAGTAAACCTGTCTGGTTACTCACCTTGACTCTTCCCTGGACTCGTTAATGTTGTCTCCCATCTAAAACCGCATGCCGCCATGGTAGAACAACTTCCTGCGGAGCCGCTTTACGATGCATCCCGTCGGCCTATTTCGGTCTTATCGCGCTGCAGATCAGGACGTTTTTCTACCTCCCTCTCGGTTCCCGGATGGTGCCTGGGCTGTGGCTGTTCAGGGCTTTTGCTTGCTGATGCCAATCGGTGCCTGTGCCCCCGAGGAAGTATTTATCATCTCTCTCTGTTTGCACAGGTGCAGTTTTCAAGTCCTTCTTGCAGGTTGCCCTGTGGCCGTTGTGTTTTCCCTGGGGGAGGTACCGGTGTTGTAAGCCCTCCTGAGTACAGCTTTCCCTTTTTTTTTCTCATTGCTTTCTGTGTGATCCTTAGGAGCAACGTGCAGGCTGCAGGTGGACCGTTGGTGGCGATCCCGCGTGCGCTGGGAAAGGACGGGGCCTTGGGTTGCTGTCCGCCTTGGCTCGACATTGAAGCTTTGCTAGTATCTGGCAAAAGAGGCAAACGGAAACCAGTGCTTGTAATTACCCGGAGGCACTTCAGTGACAATACTTTGTGCTTTTATG